GATGAGAGCTGGGTGAGGGATGGGTGAGGGATGGGTGAGGGATGGGTGGATAGATGAGAGCTGGGTGAGGGATGGGTGAGGGATGGGTGGATAGATGAGAGCTGGGTGAGGATGGATGCATGAGAGATGGAAGGTAGTAAGTCAGAGTCATGCACTCTGCCTGACCATGTTCTAGTTCAGAGCTCACATACCACCCTCATGAGCTCACATACCATGTCTCATGAGGTCATGTGGCACTGAGAGTCCCCTGTCACCTGGTGATGCTGCAGCTGTCAGGACCTCACAGCTCAGCATAGTGCTCCGGTGTTTATGGTGTGAATAAACCCTTGCCCTTCGGGTCCTACAAAAGAGCACAGGAATGCCAAGCCTCCACACTCACCCAGTGCAGGCTCTCTTCATGGTAATGGTCCTATACAGGTGCACCATTTATCTTCTATCCTGCATTTTCACTGTAACTTTTGTGTGTTCAGATATTCTCAGATACACAATGACTTCCCATTGTGTTACAGTTGCCTACATTATTCAGCACAGTAACAGGCTACATAGGTGCACAGCCCTGGGGCAACTTGCTGCCCCAGACAGCCTGGGTGTGCAGCAGGCTCTGCCATCCATGAGCTCTGACAGTTACGTTCTCAAACTTGCCACCTTGCACTTACATTGGCAGCACTGTCCCTACAGTTTGGTAAGGTTCCATACCCTGATGTATCAGGGTCTCATAGCTGTGTTCTAGGATGTGTGGCAGTATCTTGCTGAGTAGTGTTCATTGTTGTGGTATTCATGTTTATGTACCATCTCAGGAATGTCAGGGCTTGAATTAGAACAATGAACAAACATTAATTCTCCTGTTAAACTTGGTAAGAGTGGAAGTGAAATCAGGGAAATGTTAGTCCAAGTTTATGGGAATAATGCCGTGAAGCAAATGGCAGTTTACAAATGGACTAAATGTTTTTCTGAAGGGAGAGAAAGCATCACTGATAAGAGATCAGGGCAATCAGTAACAGAACTGATGAAAAAACATTGCAAAACTCCTTCAAATTGTGCATCGCAATTGTTGTCTGACTGTGAGAATCATAGCAAAGCAAGTAAACCTCAACAGAGAAAAAGGGCAGTGCCCGTGCTCAGAGGGTAGGGCGCCAGCCCCTCATACAGAGGGTGGCAGGTTCAAACCTGGCCCCAGCTAAACTGCAACAAAACATAGCTGGGTGTTGTGGCTGGCACCTGGAGTCCCAGCTACTGGGGAGGAGGCAAGAGAATCCCCTAAGCCTGGGAGTTGGAGGTTGCGGTGAGCTGTGACACCATGTCACTCTACTGAGGGTGATAAAGTGAGACTCCGTCTCTCAAAAGCAAAAACAAATAAACAAACTAAAAAACAGTAAAATGGGGAAATCTTAACTGAATATCATGGCCAACAACTCATGGTTCTTGTGTCACGACAATGCACCAGCTCACATGGCACTGTCTACGAGGGAGTTTTTAGCCAGTAAACAAACAACTGTATTGGAACACCCTCCCTACTCACCTGATCTGGGCCCTACTGACTTTTTTCTTTACCTGAAGTAAAGGATATATTGAAAAGAAGCATTTGATGACATTCAGGACATCAAATGTAATCCAGTAACAGCTCTGATGTCCATCTCAGAAAAAGAGTTCCAACAGTGCTCTGAATGGTGGACTCGGCACTAGCATGGGGGAATAGCTTCCCAAGGGGAGCACTTCAAAGTGACCACGGTGATATTCGGCAGTGAGGTCTGTGGCGCTTTTTCTAGGATGAGCTTGTAAACTTAATCGTCAACATTGTATGTTTGTTCAAATGCACTCTATGACATTCACATGACAATTAAATCACCAAACAATTTTGCTTTTCACAGAAAAGAATCCCTGCCATTAAGTGACCTAATCTGTGGATAGATGAACTGAAGGACTGATAGGTGGACTTATAAATAGACTGATGTTGATAAATTGACAGACTGATGGTAAAATACAGCAAAGTGCATAAGCGGTCTGACTGCACTTCACATGTGTGCGTGCATAGGCATGCAGCTTTCTTGCAATCTTTCTTTAGTTTGGAGTTAGTTTATTTAGGAGCCAAGTTAGGGATTTGGGCACAAATATGTCTTAAGGAAGGAGGAAAACCTGCACGAAGGACAATTGACTGTTGGTGTATTTGAATTAAGTAGGTTTCAGAAAGACTGAGCC